TTTTTTTTTTTTTTTTTGGTACTGGGGATTGAACCCAGGCACATTTAAGCACTGAGCCACATCCCCAGCTTTTTAAAAAATATTTTATTTAGAGGCAGTATCTCATGGAATTGCTTAGGGCTTTGCAAAGTTGCTGAGTGCTGAGGTTGACTTTGAACTTGCAATCCTCCTGCCTCAGCCTCCTGAGCTGCTGGGATTATAGACATGCACCACCATGCCTGGCTCTTGATTCGCTTTCTATATTGCATGAAGGTTTCTTTCCCTTTTTAAAGCTACCCGTGCCTCCCTTCCATCCCCAAGAAGAGTTAAGGTGAGAAAGTTGTCTAATGAACTGTAGAACTATGTAATTTATGGTGATATTTACAATGTTCTGTAACATTGGTTAATAGTCAAGACATTTTATATGTATATCATTTATAGTTGATAAATTTGGTTGTTTGATTTGGATAGTTAGTGTCCCCCAAAAGCTCATTTGTGAGACAATGCAAGAACATTCAGAATTAAAATGATTAGATTGTGAAAGTCATAACCTAGTCAGTGATCCACTGATTTGAATTAACTGCAGTAACTGTAGGCAGGTAAGCTGGAGGAGGCATGTTACTGGGGGCTTGCCTTTGAGYTTCCTGTTTTGTCACTGGTGAGCAGAGATATCTCTCTCCCTCTCTCCCTCCCTCCCTCTCCTTGTTGCCATGTTCTGGGGGGCTTTCCTCTGACATACCCATTTGCCATGATGTTCTGCCTCACCTTGGGCACAGAGCTATGGAGTTGGCCTTCTGTGGACTGAGATCTCTAAAACCATGAACCCCAAATAAACTTCTTTATGTTGTTGTTGTTCTTTTTTTTTTGGTACTGGGGCACTCCACCACTGAGCCACATCCCCAGCCCTATTTTGTACTTTATTGAGARACAGGGTCTCACTGAGTTGCTTAGTGCCCTACTTTTGCTGAGGCTGGCTTTGAACTTTCAATCCTCCTGCCTCAGCCTCCTGRGCTGCTGGGATTACAGGTATGCACCACTGTACCCAGCCCTTTATGTTGTTTTTGTCAGAACTTTTGGTCATAGTGATGAAAAAGCTGAGTAAATCAGTAGTGTTAAGGGTTATCTATAAAAAATTTCCTTTGTTATCAGAACCCCTTTCCCAAATAAGAATCTGATTTTTCTTTTCTTCTTTTATTTTTCGTACTGGGGATTGAACCCAGGGGTGCTTAACCACTGAGCCTCATCCCCAGACCTTTTTGTAGTTAATTTAGAGACAGGGTCTCATTTATTTGCTTAGGGCCTTGTGTTAAGTTGCTGAGGCTGGCTTTGGACTTGARCTGCTATGATTCCAGGTGTGTGCYACTACACCTAGCTCTTTTTTATATTTTTATTTAGAAACAGATTCTTGCTAAGTTGCTTAGGGCCTTGCTAAGTTGCTCAGGCTGGCTTTGAACTCAAAATCCCCCAGCCTCAACTTCCTGAGCTGTTGGGATTATAGGCATGTGCCAGCATGCAGACTTGAATCTGATTTTTCTATAGGAAATATTATAAAGCTCAAAGCATCTTAGAACTGGAAGGATCTTTGCAATTATCTAGTTCAACTCCCTGGTATTACAGATGGGTCATTTGTGTCTGAACCTCGATTTCAGTGTTTTTCTTAGGTTCTTGCCTCTCAGAGAGGGGGAATACTTGTATGTATAGTAAACTTCATTCATGAAGTTGTTTAACAAAAAAGACTTTATAACAAGATGCTGATTTTTTACAACAGAGTATGATTGAGAATGGGCAAAGTATGGAGCAATGTTTGTGATTCTTCTAGGGAAACCTCAGATGCATTCTGGAGGGGAGATTCCTTTACCGCCCTCAGGCAGCCAATCTGCAAAACCAGGAGTCCAGCCTAGGAAACCATCCCAGCCAGATGTTTGTGCCTCTCCTCAAGAAAAGTCACTCAGGACTCTGGCTTACCAAGCTGAGGAAGAGATAGAGGATGGTGGACTCTTTATCCCAATGGGTAGGCTTTCTTTTTCTTTTCAACAAACTATTGAAGTATAATATGTAGAAAACTGCACATATTCTAAGATATCCTGAGTTTCTTTCTTGAGTCCAGAAGTCCATTTTATTCTCTTTCAGTTTCACCCCCACCTAATGGATAACTACTGTCCTGACTTCCAGTCGCATATGTTGGTTCATCTGTTTTCTTTTGTATGAATAGAATCACATGTACATGCTTTTTGTGATTGCCTCTTTTTTCTTTTTTTCTTTTTGTCTCGGGGGGACTGGGGATTGAACTCAGGGGCATTCAACCACTGAGCCACATTCCCAGCCCTATTTTGTATTTTATTTAGACACAGGGTCTCATTGAGTTGCTTAGTGCCTCCCTGTTGCTGAGGCTGGTTTGAACTCTCAATCTGCCTGCCTCAGCTTCCTGAGCCACTGGGATTATAGGCATGTACTGAATAGGATTTGATTGCCTTTTTTCCACTCAACATTGGTGCAGAATGCTGTTTTATATTGTTTATTTTCATTGTCATTTAATGTTCTGTTGTTTGAATATTCTTTGTTTTCTTTATCCATCCAACTCTTGATGGGCATTTTGATAGTTTCTGGTTGTCTGATGCGCTCAAAGGTGTTGCTGTGAATATGCTACCAGGATTTTTTTTGTGTGTGTGTGTGTGAACCTGCTCACTTTTTTTTTTAATGGACCTTTATTTTATTTATTTATATGAGGTGCTGAGAATTGAACCCAGTGCCTCACACATAATAGGCAAGTACTCTACCACTGAGTCACAACCCCAGCCCTCACTTTTTTATATTGGATGCTAGCTCATAGGCTTAGGCCACCTTTATATTCTTTCAAAATATTTAATTTTTATTGTGAAATATAGTATGTACAGACAGATAAATAGACATTTATTCATCTTAACAAATGGCTTTAAAGTGAGCATCTGTACTGGATTTTTTTTTTTATATTAGAGTTCCATTATTACGTAGATTAGAAGTAGTAGAAGTAGATGTCATGTTTTGTTTCTGAACATAGGAGAGAAATGTTCTGTATTCTTCCATTTTGCATGATGATAGTTGTAGGCTTTTCATAGAAACATTTTTATCAGATTAAGGAAATTTTTTTCTTAGTTTTATTTTTTCTTTAAAAAGAGAGAGAGAATGAGAGAGAATTTTAATATTTATCTTTTAGTTTTCGGCAGATACAAGATCTTTTTTCTTTTCTTTTTTTTTTTTTTTAAAGAGAGAGTGAGAGAGTGTTGAGAGCTACTGCTGAGTTGGAATGGCCCCTAACATTTTGCCAGAAGTACTGGTTGAGAGA